TCCTCTACCTGATCCTTCCTCTCCAGCTCTAGCTTAAGGCACTGTAGTGTGTTATTTGTTTCATCCAGTTTATCTTTCAGCAAGCGAGCCTTTTCCTCAGATGAGGTTTTTTCAAGCTGGAGGGCGTTAAGCTCATACTTCAGCTCCCGCATGTCTTTCTCAGCCTTTCTGTTGGCGATGGTTAGTTCATCTACCTGCTGTCTGAGTTCCTCAGCTTTCTGTTTGTCATTCTCTTTCTGAATACCGACTCCTGCCCTACACAATGTAGCCTGTGTGATCGCACAAGCAGGCAAAGCATTTTCTCTACATGAATACTGAATTTCAGTTATTTTTCTTCTGGCTTCCAATTCGATTTTTTGCTTTTCCTTCAACTGTTTCTCTGCTACCTGTTTTTGAAATGCAAGGTCTTTTTCCATCTGCTTTACCAGCCTCAAGAGTTCTTCCTCACTGTCTTTCTTCCTTCTTAATTCTTCCATCAATTTATTTTTTTGCTGCTCCAAATCATTAAGACTCAAGTCTTTCCTTTTCAGATGATCCTCCAAGGTTCTTCTTGTAAAGGTGTTCTCCTCTAACTGATTACGAAAATTCAGGAGGTTTTCTTCCACAGCTGCTCTTTTGGCCTCGGCCTCTAAGGTGAGCTGCCTCACCCGCTCCAGTTCCCGCTGTGCGGCTTCCTTCTCCCTCACAATGGTCTCCAGTTCCCGGCGGTACTGCTTGGCCTCACTTTCAGCCCGTATCTTCTGCAAGGCTATGTCTTCTACATTTCTCTGCTGCTTTCTCAACTCATTTTCTGCAGCCTCCTTGACCTTCGGAAGTTCTTCCTCCACTCGGGACTTTTGCTTCTGCAGTTCCGCTACCATTTTTTCCAGTTCACCAATCTTTCCTGTGAGCTTGCTATTCTCCATCATTGTTGCCTTCTGACGCTGAAGCAGATCTGAGTATGCCCCATGTTCAGAAGTCTCCTTGCACCTTTTCATCTATAAGACACATTTTTAAAAGTGTCACAGCCGTTCTATTAAAATTTACTTCATGACACGTGGAGCAACGTGCCTAAAAGTACTTACAAAACCAAGAGAACCCAAACATAGCACAAGCAGCATCACCGCCACCATAGCACCACCTTCTTCAGAGAGGAAGCATCAGAGGTCAGCAGGAGTGGACAGAAAATCCTCCAGGATGGGTGTCCTGGAGAATCTTTTTTTTGTCCCACAGGAATAACTTCATTTTAAAAATTAGGTAGCTCAGGGATTTATACCAAGAAAGGACCTTAGAAAACATCTAGCATGACCTTTTTTTAAAAAAAAAACAAATGAAGGGGAAATACGAGGTTAAATAATTTTGCAAACTCACACAATAGATAAGTGACAAAGTAGGAACTAAAATTCTCGCAATAGTGCCCTTTTAATTCTTGCATACAACTTAGTCCTAGGAGTCAGGAAAAACATACATTATATAGGAACCAAATAACATTAAAGAATTTAGTTTTCAGTAGCTAGCCCAGTGGGAACCTAAAATGATATTTATTTTCCCATGTTTCATGGTTAAAGAAACAAAACACACGAGTTGAGAACAGAAAGCCAAATTCAGAAATAATACTTAACATGAGGAAAAAAGAAAGTTACATAAAAACTTTATCCCTAAATTCCTTATGTGATTGTACTTGCCTGTGAGGACAACTACAGAAATTGGAATTGTTAATGCAAAGGCAGCTCTTGTCCCTGATAACTTTAAAGATGTGTTTCATATACTCACAGATTTGGATGGTTTTGTTAATAACAGCCTCATATGAATCCACCTTGACAAGTACCTTTAGGTACCCAGTAATGAAAAAAAAATTGTTAAACATCAATACTCTTAAAAATATACTAAGAAGTTCAGCTCCAATTTATTAAATACAATGTAAGAAAAACATTTTACTCTACTGATTAGAGAAACAGTCTCAGCTGGGAGGAGTCCACTTCACATTGACATCAGAACTAGGTGACCAGGATTAGTTTAGAATGACAATTTCTCTTTATTAATATCATAATGCTATTCGTTTTGAATCAACTTGACATCACTATAATTAGAAACAATTTAAATTCGAGTAGTGAAATTGCTTTAGATAGCAGACTTGTTTTCATTGAGATACTCAGATGAATTTCAAGAATTTAATTTACATTATGGACCATGCATCTCATTTTGCTTTCTTGAATTTCTTGATCACCAATAATTTTCATGAGAATTTCAGTTATTTCCTTCCCCATCTAAATGTAGTTTTTTAATAAGAATTCACATAGAAATAAATCTCATCACAAACTGCTATGCTCAACACTCTATTTTCTTTCTTCTGGCACTAGGATCAACTGTGATGACACTAAAACACTCTATGTATTTAAAATATTAAGGTTTCAATATTTTCAAAATAATTTCAAAGAGGGTCTTTTCCATATGCTTATCAAACCTTCTTTAAAACTCAACTATTATTAAGAAGTTCAAAGTTCATATTCTGTTTCCTTTAGGAAAAAGCTTGATGAGCCCTCCATACCTTAATTAGAGTCATCCTGGTGATTTGTTAATAAATCTCATGTTATCTCAGAACTCTGATTTTCTTGGCAAATGCTAGCTACAAAGAGTACTTGAAATAATTTAGACCACATGCTGATTTGCCTTTTTGTAGATCCTGAACTTATTTGCATAAAAATAACATTTTCTCTACATGTTCCCCTCACAATGTGATTAATATCTAAGAGTTTGCTCTCAAATTAGATGAAAAAAAAATTTCTTTATCATAGCTAATAGCCATTACAGATACTCTACAATATTTCTCTAATTTGGCATTACCTCTCAAATTACCTGGCACCTACCTTTGATTTTATGCTTATTATGAAAAATTCTGCTTTCAGACCAAGGTTTCTCAAGATCTTCACAACTTCAAACATACTCTTTTGAACCTAAAATATGAGCTAAATATCTTTTTTTTCTTTTTTTGGAGGGGGTAGAGCAATTACTGGGGATTGAACTCAGGGGCACTCAACCACTGAGCCACATCCCCATCCCTATCTTTCATTTTATTTAGAGACAGAGTTGCTTAGCACCTCAGTTTTGCTGAAGCTGGCTTTGAACTTGCCATCCTCCTATCTCAGCCTCCCAAGCCACTGAGATTACAGGCATGTACCCATGTACCACCATGCCTGACTTAAATATCTTTTATAGGACAATCTATTAATGTGATCCTCAAATGGTGAGGGTTTTGTAAGTCAATTTCAAATTATAGTTTTTGCATGTCTTTCATAACTAGAGTGCTTTTGATACTCAATTCACTATATATCTGATATTTCAGAGGATGGTAATGATGATTTGTAATTGTTTAAAGCCTTATTAAAACATCAATTGTTTCTATGCTTTCTTGTATAAGTTTTATAGTTTTAGATTTTTCATTTGAATTTATTTTTTTCTGAGTTTATTTCTGCGTGTAGCACATGGTACACACTGAAGTTCATATTTTCTGTATATGAATATCCAATTTCTCCAGCACTGTTTATTGAAAAGACCATCCTTTCTTCCTAAAATTGTCTTTGTACTTAACCAAAACTCTAAAATCAATGTGTGTTTGATTTCACTGAATTCATCTGTTTTTATGCATTACAATGTCTTGACCTTGTAGCTTTGTAATAAGTCATGAAAGAAAATAAACAAAATATCTTCTGTTTCTATCAACTTCTGCTTTCTCAGATAAATTAAGAAAGGTGGCCCATATATGTATAATCAGATATACACTAAAAGAAAAGGACTTAAATTATTTTCTCTTACATTTACCTACAGAACATATAATTTAAAAGATATGCATACTATAGCAAGATTTCTCAAAAACTAAAAATTATGGATATTTGTTCACACATAAGAGGTACATGCCAATTATTAAGACAGCCATAAATATTTTGTTTCTCCTTTCTAAGCATAAAGGAAACTGGATATAAAGTCTTGAAATCAGCTATGTTAATGATTGAGTTGCAGAAAATGATTAGCTCTGAACAGACTAAAATAGCTTACAAAAGCAGCCAAATTTTCAGAAACTAAGAGAGTAACATCTAATAAATGTTTACTACTGTTTCAGATGTTTCATTATATAAATAAGAGTTATAATTATAATCATACTCAGAATTTGAAAAATTGTCAAAGTAAGGTGGTTACACCCTACCTTTTTACTCATTTTACTTATTTCAGGATTTACTATCTTTGTCTGTTCTCAGGTTAGGAATAGAAAGCACATCAAGATAATAAAGCACAGAATATACCATCAAGATTAGAAAAATAAGGCTTTAATGATAATTTACTGTTAATAAATGTAGAATCAAAGTTATTGAAGTGCTCCAAATCAAAGTGTTACCTAGTCTTTTTATTATGACCACGTTTTGGCAAAAATATAAACAAAGCCCCAAACTTCATGATTTTTTAAAATTTAGTATTGTTTTATACAAACACCAACTCCTTCTAAGTTGATGTCTTTTTAATATATTTAAATTAAAATAACTTTTAACTCCTGGAGGATATAAATTAATTTAAAATGCATAAACAAATGTGCTCATATAATATTTCTCTAGACATCATAATAGCAGTAACCATACTTTACTGAGAAAGCTTTATCAGTGATAAAGTTGAAAATAAAATCATTTGAAATATTAACCATATCATGTTGGGTCTTAAAGGGGAATTTTGGGATGTTTGTTTGTGGTACTAGAGATTTAACCCATTGCAAGCACTCTACCACTAGGCTACATCCCCAGGCCACCTGAATTAAAAATTTTTTAAATGCTCTTCTATTCAAGAAAATCTTTAGAATGAGCAAACAAAAATCTTAGGCCTTTGCTCTTTTTCATTGAAAATTCACTGTTATTTACTTGTATATTAGCTATCAGTCATGTAAACTCATAGAAACTCCTTTTGCTTTCCCAAACCATATTGTAGTTCCTGCTTGTATCTAGATGCTTGCTATTTAGCTGTTGGTTGGTAATGGTTACCTCCTCCTCTTCCAGCCTTTTCAATGAATCACCAGCAAATTTAATATATTGTGTCATGAGGGTAACTAGAGCAGTGTACCGGGTCCGTAGGTCCATGAACTGCAAGTAAGGAAAAAATTAATAAAAATGTAATTTCCAGTTGTCCTTAACAAATTGAATAAACTGAGTAATAATTGTAATATTAACTAAGCTTTGGTAGAATTAAACACACAACACCCCAATAATTAATGGTAACTAGGTATCGATGAGCTACAGTTATGCACACCATGTGCATGCTAATTCTAAGTTTAATCATGAAATACATTTATTTATCTTTGTAGTTAATCACTGATCCTGAATTGATCTTGATTTTAAAAAGGATTTTAAAAACTCTTAATAAAATGTAGTTATGGGTATAGATTTTCTGTTTGAGATAATAAAAATTTTCTGGAAATGATTAGTGGATATGATTACACAGCATTGTGATATATTAAAATGCCATTAAACTGTACCTTTTTAAATGATTAAAATGGTATATTTTATATCATGTTTTAACATAATCAAAATAAATAAAATTGTTTAAAAATATTGTTTCACTCTTTTATGCCCTTATATACGTCCCCCTCATATTTTTATTACCTCTTGAATAATGAGATCTGCTGAGCTCTGCATTCTTCGGCGTTTCACTGGAGATTTTTGTTGTGAATCTACCATGGCCCGGTAGGTCATAGTTTGTAACTCATAGTCCTATATAAAAGAGTCAATATTATAAAATTAATTAAGGCAAGCCTAGAGCTTCATCCTACAGTGATTAAATGCAGAAAATTAAAATCTAGTTTCACTGAATGAATTTTAAATAAAACACTACAAAACTACATTTTTTAGGAATCTATCAGATCCTGGAGATACTTCCAAGGTGTGTTGATAAAAGCAGTATAGTCAGGAAAGTTCTCAATTCTTTTTGTAACTTCATAAAACTATTTATGTGGTGGCACATGCCTATAATCCCAGGGGCTTGGGAGGCTGAGACAGGAGAATCACAAGTTCAGGGCCAGCCTTCCCAACTTAGCTAAGGCCCTAAGCAACTTAGTGAGGCCCTAAGCAATTTAGTGAGACTCTGTCTCAAAATGAAAATACAAAGGACTGGGGACTTAGCTCAGTGCTTAAGTGTACCTGGGTTCAATACTTGCACAAAAATACACACACATACACACACACATAATATCTTAGTTATAAACAGTCTCCCCTTCCTCTGGCTAAACTATGGATCTAGAAAGTTGAGAAACTATAGTGATAACCAGAAAAGCATGGGAAACATCTGCTAAGTTAAAAAGTCAAAGCTTAGCCAGTACAGTGGCACACGACTATAATTCCAGCTGAAGGGGACTGAGGCAGGAGGATCACAAGTTCAAGGCCAGCCTTGACAACTGACACAGTATTTTGAAATAAAAAGTAAATGGAATAGGGATATAGCTTTATGGTAAAGTGCTCCTGAGTTCAATCCCTAGAACGAAAAAGAAAAACAACAAAAAAAGTCAGAAGCTCTCTTGATGTTAGAAAAAAAAAGACAAAAAAGAGGAAAAAGGGTTAGGAAACGAATTTCAGAGCTATATATTTATTCCGATATTTATGTTCATGAGGGAGGGTATGTGGGTGTGTCGGTGTGCGTGCATACATGCTCAGGCACACATGTGGCAGAGAGAGACATACATACACACACACACACACACACACACACACACACAATGAACAAATCAGGGACTGTCATTGGACTCCAATTTCACCCAGAATTTCTAGACAAGAGCAAAAAAGTCTGAGTGTAGTAATGCACACCTGTAATCCCAAAGGCTTAGGAGGCTGAGGCAGGAGGATCATAAGTTCAAAGCCAGCCTCAGTAAATGTGAGATGCTAAGCGACTCAGTGAGACCCTCTCTCTACTAGCATGGCTTTTAAAATACATCACAGCCTTATATACTGAACATTAAATTTGACTAGAGTAACTAAATCTTACCTTTACTATAGCTGAGTATTGTTCTGCATATTTTTGACATTCATCCATTTTGCTTTGTTTCATTTCTATTTCAGACACCAGCATCTAGAAACACACACAGTTTAGAAAAAACAGGATGAGGAACTCTATGCTACTTTATTTCTTAAGATGCTTCAGAACTAAGAAATACCCACATCACTTAAAAGTACAACTCCTAAGCCCTTTGCATTTAATATGCAACTTGCCTTACAGGAAAATTACAAATTAAATATACAATTTAGCTTATGGGTAAATTATAAACTTCTAGATTAAGACTTCTAAGTGACCTATATCCTCATGAGGATTCAAAAGCAAAAATTACTAAACCCCATAGGAATTATGCAAAAGCGGTCTGGATACACTTGACTATCACCTATTCCTGATGAAAACAGAGTTAGAAATTACTAACCCCTAAAGTTAGAACAAAACTCCCCAACCACTCAATGTTCTGTCCAACATCACTGTATAATTTTCTACTACTCTGTATTTTCATTTATTTGGGAACTCATGAAACTATTTTGGCCAGAAAAGTTTCAAAGAGATTTCCATGCCTATGATTAAATGATGATTAGGAATTTGAAAACTTCCAAATTATTGCCAAGAAATAAAAATAAGTAATGTACATAGGTTTGGGTTGCAGAATTTCAGTATTATGTACTCCCCATTTTTCTCAAAATATCTGCTCTTAAGACAGGAAAGGAAGATAAGGGATGTGACTGACCAAATGTAGACAGAACCTTGGGACAAGGAATTTTTTTACAGACCTTCTGTTGATTCAACTGTGTGGCTAGGGTTTTGCTGTTTTCAGGCTGATTTTCTTGAATCTTTCTCTGAGTAGTTTCCACCTGCTGGATCCATTCATCTAAAGGATGATAGGTGTCTCTGTAATATTTTAGTGATTTCCCGATGCCCTCCAAGTCCCGTAGCCTAAGAGAACAGAAAGAGAACAGACAGTTTCCAACAGCATCCATAAGAAGGGTAGAAGGTGTAGGGAAGGGAGAGAGAAAAGCACTGTCCTATTCACCAAGCACAATAAAGGAGTATCTGTAAATCATTCAAGGCTGCAGCACCCCAAGGTACATATCCAAGGGCCCTTCACACTGGCTTTGAGTTGAGTTGTAACTATTTTTTTTCCTGGAGTTGTACAATTTAGTGATACTGGTTATTCTACCTACGAATGAGCCCAAGAGATGAAAGTTAAAAACCGGGAAAATAGGGACTTAATAATAATTATTATCAGAAAGTCTTGAACAACCAAGGTTTGCTTCAAATGGCAGCTCACTTTTGAAATGAATAGAAGGCACTTTAAAGTGGCTCAACATGGACTCAGTGTATTTTCCAGGAGCTATGATCAAAAACTTGTTGCTATAATTCTAAAACCAGCACATTTTAACCTACAGAAACAAGACACTATATGTATGAACATTATTTCATTTCTCAATCTCATAAAAGTATCTAATTTACACTGATATAAACTAAAGATGAATGAGAAAGAATGCTAATCCATGTCTTTAAAGATGAGCCCTAAAACTATCCCATTTCATGTTTTAAATTTTCACTGAGTGATTTAAACTTTCTTATATCTTCAAATAAAATGAACATCAGGCCATTTCAATTTATTTACATTTCTTAGGTCTAATATATGTTGTTATATAGAGCCCTAACAAATAAACATGTGATTCATGCTCTTAGTCATGTGTGGATATCATATGTTAGTAATAATTACAAAACTATATTGTTTTCTTTTTCTTCAAAAAAAGCAATAAATTAATTCCACAAATGTCAGAAAACATCAATATTTTCAATTACACAGGATTGAAAAATGCTTATTTTGAAGTTAAATGTCTTATTAAAGTATACCACATAGAAAAGAAATATAATTAGGTACAGCTCTTGTAGTTAACACAATTAACTATGGAATTTTTTAAAAAGCTTAAGTTTGAAGTTTATCCAATATCCATAGATAAGACATCAAATCTGCACTTAAACTGAACCAATAATGATATGTACCTGTTGTCAATCTGCACTTGAACATTTTGCCACCTTTCAACTAACTGATCTGCTTTTTCCTTGTGCCAGTCAAAATCAAGGTCCCTTTCTTTATACGTCTTAAACATTTCATCACTGATGGCCTTTGCCTTCTGCAACTCGTCCTCCAGGGCGTGGAAAACCTCTCTCTTTTCATCAACTTCAGACCGCCATTGCTAAAATACATTAATTAAAGAGAGTTATAAAATTAATCAATGAGTTACTGGGGGTGCACATTAGTTATGCAATGTTACAATTTATTTATAAATGACACATAAAATCAGATGAAGTAAAGACTATATTTCATACACTAAGTATATTAGGCTTAACTTTATTAAGTGGCCAATATCTGGCTATAGTTTGATGTGTTTTGTTGTTTCTTGTTTTGTGGTACTAAGGACTGAACCCAGAGGCACTTTACCACTGGGCTATATCTCCAGCCTTTGTTATTTTTTGCCAGAGTCTTGTCAAGTTGCCAACGCTGTTATCAAATTTTCAAACCTCTTGCCTCTATCTCCCTAGTAACTAGGATTACAGGTCTGTAAAACCATACCCAGCAACTGTGCTTTGATTTTTAAAAAATGACAATTTTATTAAGTTCAGAGTTTTCAAATTAATAAGATAAATATATTCCTTAAGTTTGTCACCTATAAATATAAAACATTTTTTTCATTTTTTGTAATGTTACTAATCTCATTATTTAAAAATGAATACATGGGGGCTGGTGTTGTAGCTCAGTGGTTGAGCACTTCCCTTGCATGTATGAGGCACTGGGTTTGATCCTCAGCACAACATAAAAAATTAAATAAATAAAACAAAGATATAAAAAAATGAATACATGCATTAAAATTCAGAGATAACTTCACAATGTTTTGCAACTGCTCTGCTAAGTGCATTATGTACAGAAATAGTGAGTACAATCACCAAGCTTTTTCCTTTCTTCAATTAATTCTTCTGTCTCTTTTAGTAGGTGAATTTATTATAAATAATTTCATTTTCAGGTTCAATTTCTCTTGTGATCAACATGAATTGATTATAAAAACCTATTATCAAAAATGTTTAAGCTTCAAATAAGTATGTTGCTCATATTATGATTGAACATATTTATTTATAGTAAATTATAGACTTATAGAGATGAAATAGACTGAATACATCAAAAATATATTCCAACCAAGATACTTAGTGCTGATTTTGAAGATCTGAACTCAGTGCTAAAAAAATACTCATATGATCTTGAAAAATAGCCAAAAGTGAGACTCTTACCTTTAAAGTACTTATTAGATTCTCAATATTATTCTTGTCAGCTATAACTGCTTCTTCTTCACACAGTTTGGTTTCATAAAGTTTTACAAGGGCTTCTGCAGCTTGAGTGTTTTTTAATACCAAATTAACTGTTTTCAGCCTTTAAAAGGAAATTAAATGATAGCTCTTACTGTTGCATGTTTATTTTGGCATAATTCAGTCCTAAAGTACCATTATGACACATGGCATAGTGTATTTTTCAGAGGAGAACATTGAAAATTTACTGTAAGATTGGCATTCAGCTGACTCTCTTCTGAATAGACAGTATGCACTCCAACACGTGCTCTGCCCCACAGTCAGTATTCATAAAGAGATTCCAACATAAAACAATTTCTAAGTTTGTTTAACCAAGTAAAGACAGAAACCCCTGTAGGTTAGGACTGCTACACTACCAGAACCATAATGTGGGAAGATAATGCCTTAGGTACTAATCTTAAAGCATTTATATCCCCTTTCAGCATGAAGAAGTGTTATAAATCCACAGGAAAATTTAATATATTTCTTAAGACAAAATAAAATTGAATATTTCTGTTCATAAATTTTTAAATTAACAGCATATAAAAGTGATGACATTAAGAGGCAAATTGCATGTTAGTACGGTAGTTACATACTTCTCGATGTATGTAGAAGACATAGAATAGACTTGGTTCATGTTCTGAACAACCACGCTGAGCTCAGATCTTAGGGTAGGAACAGATGAAGAGGCTGCTGCTTGACTGAAAAACTCTTCACATTTATTTGTGATGGTTCCTAAATCATCTTTAAGTCGTTCCAGCTCTTTCTTTAGTTTCTATAAGACAGCGAACATACACAGGTATTAGGTGATCACTCCAGATGGGGTAATTTTCTTAAAATAGTTTAAAAACACATTTTACATTATGGTAACGGACTTTAAAATCTACAAATTCTATATAATTTTTCTTTATCAAAGAAACAAAGACTTGGAATTCCAATTTTATAATCAGTGCTGCCTATCTCCTTAGACCCAAACATAACTTATCACCCAGGTATACAGCAGGGGTATAATGACTCATTTGAGAAACCCCTCAAGATGAGTGAAAGGGCACAAGCTTGCATGCTTACCTAAGTCAGAGGTAAAATTACAGAATCACATTTTACAATCAGTAATAAACACACAATCAGACCTTACCAAGTAACCAGTGTGCAAAGTTGAACCTGTATGGTTACTAAGAGAGTCCTTAATCTTATTTTTTTGCCCCAACATATTTGTAACTCTTACCTCCTGCTCTGTGATTCTGAACACACTTTCATGCAAATCATCTCTTTCCAGGGGAGTTCGGATCTGTCTGATTAGTCGATCTTCACAGTTCTCTAATCTAAGTCTAATGTTTCGAACTTCAGAGATGTAGAGATTATAAACTGATTCCTCTTGCTCCTCTGTAAAAATAAATGTTTAAAAAATACCTTGTTTTTTTTTTCTACCTTTGAATGACCTTATTCATGTTTTAATACAGCAATTTTCCTATTACTGGGTAACAATTTAGTCAAACTTACAGCTCCTATTTAAACTCACTTTAAAACTTAAAGTGTAAATCTTAAAAATAGGAATTTTAAAATTTAAGAAGTAAATAAAATCTCCCTAGAGCCATCTGAAGCACCAATTTCTGATTCATGCTGTCCAAAGAGAATAATATATTGTCCCTTTTTATGTTTATTTATAAACATAATGTGAATTATATGTTATTCATAAACATAATGTGAATTATTTAAGTTGTAGATTTTAAAAAATAAATATAATCCTTAAAAGTAAAAAGAAAATGAAGAATGTGTGAATGTTTCAGATTTTAAAAACCAGAAAATTACTAATAAAACATTTGTTATCTAAGAAACATCAAAAGAGTTATGAATAAAAATTATATTTAGGGCTAGAGTTGAGGCTCAGTGGTAGAGCACTTGTGTAGCAAGAGTGAGGGAAGTTCTGTGTTCAATTCTCAGTACAGCATATAAATAAATGAATAAAATACAGGTCCATCAACATCTAAAAAAATATTTTTAAAGATATATATTTAATAAAATTTAACTAAACATTTTGCTTTTAATCCCTATATATAATTATTCGTGAGAAAATAATTGAGTCTTTCCTATACCTGAAGAGTCACTATCCTAAATATGACCTTTCAGAAGATTTTGAAAAGATGATTCAGTGAGGATTCATCTTTTTCATAATATTTGGCTGGCATCTTTTTGTTAATTCATCACTTAGAAATAAGTGAATCTCTCCTTGAATCTTCCTACATCAAACTTTTGGTTTTGGTAATGCAGGTGCTTGAAACTGAAGCCTTGTGTGTGCTAGGCAAATGGTCTACCATTGAGCTACTATTCCAGCCATACATTTTTGTTTTGGTGTTCCAACAATTATATCTCTATATCACAAACTGAGTGATGTAATACAAACAAGATTAGGATTCCCACTGAGAACACTAAACTCCTGGATTAAACCAAACATCTGTGGGCGGGGGTGGAGGAACCAGAAATTCCCATGCTTTACCTCTTTCTGCAGACTTAAGAAGTTCTTGGTAATACTGTTTACATACATTAACTTCCTTTTCAAGTTGTGTTATATCAGAGCCTGAAAATACTTGGGATTCCTGGCTGTCTTCCAGAAAATCTTCAAAACGAGACTGGAGATTACTCAGAACTTGCTGATGTTCACCAGGCAACATTGTCTTGATCTAAAGAAGACCAAAGATCCATATAATTAAATAATTATAGTAGCAAGAGTTAAATCTAAATGAGACAAATCTCTTGCTGATCTCAGTATATTCCAGTTTACATTAATAAATAGATATAGGTAGAAGAACCATTTGAAAATTAATATTCTCTTCTGTTAACAATTTCAGGTTAAAAAACAAGTCAATAAAGTTCAATAAACTTAATTATAAACTACATCAATCTCTCCATGTCCAAACACTATGTCCTATCCTGACATCTCAGCACTAGATGAAATCTGTTATCTCCAGAATTCTCTAATTATTTGAAAGTGCCCGTACATGGCAGGCATCTAACAAATATTCACTGATGCCTGAATATCAGCAAGGGTCTGCCAGGCTTTATCCTATTCTGGAACAAAAACAAAGTCCACCCCATGCATGACAAGGCATTCCACATTTCTGGACATATAGAGTTGATGTGTACATTTCACTTACTGAAGCCACATTGCTAGCTCGAATTCTCTCAATTTCATTGATGAGATAATGCCAGGATACTACACTCTTCATGTTAATGTGAGACTCATGCCAAAGAGTCAGGACATTTTGATACTGTTGCTCAATTCTGAAATATAACAGAAAATACAAATTAAGTCTTTCCACACCTTCTGAAAGCATTCTACAATTTTTCCTTTTGTTTCTGAAATAATCCATGTTTACTAGTTGTAGAGTCTTCAGATTCTGAGCAGACTTGATAAAATATTGATTGTTTCTTTAACCTTCAGAAGGCCCCCAAAACAAGTTCTATGTCTTCAGCTAATAAATACAAACCTGTTTGCAAAGTCAACTGCTTCTTTATTTGGTGGAGGAACAGTGAAGCACACAGATGGGACCATGGCCTCATTACCAGTAGGACTAATGACCTTCCATTTAGCACGATGAGAGTTATTTGCCAAAACACATTCGTCATCTTTGTATATGGTTATCTGGTGTTAAATGAAGAACAGAATAACTATATCAGATCACTATTAGCTAATTTTTTTCCATACTCAATCCTGAGATTTGTTCTGTTTTATGAGATGGAAAAATGTCATCACTACTAAGCAACATGACCTTGTTTTATAATACATGAATAGTAACAGAAACTGGTCTGTACCTCAATTTGTCGGTAGTCACAGATAGCTTTGATTGGAATTGAAGTTTTGAGTTGACAGTCAGGATTCCTTGGCTTCAGCTGAATGATTGTTTTGGCTCTCCCCATCAGACTTGCTACTGAGCTCTTATACTGTAGAAGTTCTTCTTTCTCTTCCTACATTGTAAATAGAGTGGATTTTAAGAAGTGAAAGACTTGTACTCTCCATTCCTGCAGAGATTTACACAAATAAAATTTCACCTGAAAAGTTATTCCTTAGCCACCTGGTCTCAACTTCCAGTTCCTCCATACCCCCTCCTGCATTCTTCTTCCCTTATTTTGTTTGTTCAGATTTTGTTTTGTTTTTTCCTCTTTAGCATTTACACTGCCTAATACACTACCTACATTTTATTGAACATGTTAGCACCACAAAGGTGGAGATTCTTGTCTGCTTTGTTCATTGTCCTGAAACTATAACGGTGCCTAGGGTATAGAAAGCTCCTAACAAATATTTGTGGAATAAACAACTAAACACACTCATCCAGAGTATTGTTAAAGCATCTTAAAGCATCAAGGCTATCATATAAAAAACAATTCTGTTGTGTTACCAAAAATTTCTAAACATTTAAATGCTTAATCAAATGAAGTAAGAATATATGAGTACCAATAAAATTAAGTTCTGCACATAAAGTGTAATAAATTAATTAACAATAAATTAATAAATAAAACACTAATCCAACCACTATTCTGCATTGTGGATGGAATGCATGAGTTTTTGTATGAGTACCATTGATTCCTGAACAAGGTCTTCCAGCTTGTGAATGCTGCTTGATCTATCACAGCTATACTTCCGCTGAATGGCGTCTTTTAGATTCCTTAAATAATCAGTAGCTTCTTTGGCATCATTGAAAAACTAAGGAAAGAGAAAACTTGTCAGTCAGACTCGTTAAATGCCAGTAAAGCACAGAATTGTCAAGTTTGGAAAACCAGGCCCTGTGTATACCCCTTATTAAGCAAGAACAGAATAAAAGCACAAGATAACTTGATAGCTACATCCTTCTTGAGTCAAACAACACTTGAACTTTTGAGACAGGGTCTCGTTAAGATGCTGAGGCTAGCCTCTAATTTGTCATCCTCCTGTCTCAACCTTCTGAGTCACTGGGATTATAGGCATGTGCCACCACATTCAGCTTAAAGTAGTTTTTAAAGAATTTTTCTTTTTTAACAGAATGCTGCAATCTCTCTTACAGGACATGAAATTAACCCTTATATCCTACAAAGAAAACATTTCAGTTTATTCATTCTGCACACTATATACATGCTTATGTGTGTAATAACTTATGAAGAAGATTTCTGCAAGTCAGCCCAAATCACTATGCTATCTACTGGAGTCCTGGTTCTATTAACATACCTCAAAATATGCAGTGTTCTCCTTTATGTGCTGCTCCACACACTGGCAGAGTTGTAAGATCCAGCTCCACTGAGTCTGCATGGCAGCTCTGTAGGCCTTCAAGACAAAACACAGCCATTAAAACCAGATGGAGAGAATAAGGTACCTGCTGTGCTAGGGAGGCAGTCTAGGCTTAGAGTGATTTCTTAGCATCCACAAGGCCAGGGTTCAATATCCCGCACTGCAACAATCACAACAACAAAATAGGCATGTCTACACTGGTGCTTTTTAATGATAAAATACTCTATCTAAATAGATGATAAATTGCTTTAACAGTATGAGACTTGAAAAGCATGGTAGTAAAATGTTCCTCTTATTTAAGAGTTCTCACTTATATAATCCTAAAGTTTACACATTGAGTTTTTAAATCAGTGCAGCTGATTTCTCTCAAATTTTAAACTTCTTGAATTTTTTTCCTAAAAAGACAAGAGAAAAGTTAACTCTGGCTATTTTTGCATGAAAAATATTTAAAATTTGAAATAAATGCAAGATACCACTCCTATTTAGAAAACTATCTCTTTTGTTTACTCCTATGCCACTACCCTTACACCTGCTTGGTTAAATCCTCAAACATGCTTTCCTCCATGACGACTTCATTTTCTGTTTCTCTGAATTTTTACATTACTGAATCATAAAATATACCTTCTAACAGAAATAGCTGGTTCTGTAAGTGTTCCTCTTTGCTTTTGCTGAGGAAAGAATTGGGGAAGATGGAAAAGGAGCACACTCTTTCTTGTGCAATTTGGAGTTATAATAATTATAATCTAGGAATTATAATTTGAAAGTCTGTGGACTCAAACTTTCATTTCATGCAAAGTGTATCTTTCAAGAGGGCAAAAAGTGTAAAAAAAAAAAAAATCCAACACCCTTTTATGTTTGAGGTGCAATTCACTGACTTCCAGGAGAGGGAGCTCTAAATGTTTGCACAACTTAAGCCTCTCATTTCTTTATTTTTTTCCCCTCCATTAGGAATAACTCATCTCTGCAGAGCAATGTACAGGCGGGCTTTCTGCATGGAATGTACAGTGCAGCATTGGAAATCTGATGCTATATTATGATTATATTATCTGTTCCCTCAAATCAAGCTTTTTTTGTTGTTGTTTTTATTTTCTGGTACTGGGGATTGAATGCAGGGCCTTAAGCACCCTAAGCATATGTTCTACCTCTGAATTATACCCTAATCCCTCAAATTAAGGTACTTTGAGTAAACTGGCATATCACTGTATGTTATCACATTTCTAGGGTTTTTTAGTACAAAATATGAAGTAGTGTTGATAATTAACCAAGTATTATTCATCTACCGATAATCTACAATGAACAGGCCAATGGGGTCATAGGGATTACTAAGGCTTCATTTTACTCCTTAAGAAAATTTTAGTTAGATTATTATTCTATGTAAAAGTAATCAGATTCACATTCACACTTTTCATTCCCATCAAAATTCTATTTTCCAACAGCTCTCACTTATCTGCTCTAAGGAACACTGTATTTTTAGATTATTATTGTACAAAAGTATAGCCAGATCATGTGGATACAAAAACTTTAATTTGTGTGAAAGAAAGTCAAACATAACATTCCTAACTTCCTAATGAGGCCTAGAATTTTACTAACATTTTATGTACTGATGACTTCAGTGAACAAAGCGATAAGATCCCTTCCCTCAACTGCGAGTGTGAGGCATGCCAGCTTTTATGCAGAACACTTTTTCCCTCTAGCAACTTGTGACATATGTCTGTCCCTGGTGATGCTCCCCGTCCTCTTACATAATCCCAGTTCACATTCACAAAGTCATTGAGTCTGTCTAGTGCACATCAGGCCTAAAAATCAAAAACTGCACAGGCAACCTGCAAATCCCACGTCAACTCTCCACTTCTGCAACTGAAATATTCACTCCACACTAAGAGGAGGAAGCTACCACAATACCCTTCACCAAACCTGTGTAGAAGCATTAAATTAAATTGCAATGTGATATTTCTGGAGAATATATTATATAATTTGCACTCTACTCAGAGGTGAGAAGAAATTATTTCTTCTCATTCTTACCACAACTCTATTGAGGCAACATAGTCCATTTTTGATAGGGATCACTTGTGCAATGTCACAGAGATGGGGAAAAACTACAATGTCAAAGTTAAGACAAGGTCATTCATGTTTACGGAAATAAATCACCATGGCCACAGGGGTTGATGAAGGTACCTAAATGATAGGTGACACATTCAGGGCAAGAAAACTGAAGGCAAGTGTCAGTAAGATTGTCAGAAACATTATTTTTCAGCCAGGCAGTAGTAATTTGGGTAGTTTGTATCTTTCAGCAATGGAAGTATCTGAAGGGTCACACTCCTATATCAATATTCAACCCATACTGTTATACCTTCAGACTCACCTCAATAGTTAACCGGGCTGGGTGATTTTCCAGAAGGAGCTGCTCTGCTACCTCCTGAACTGATTTAATATTTTCTTCCTTTTGATCTAGTTCTCTCATTAATTCCTAATTTAAGAAAGAATTACAAAGTGTGTTAGAAAAAAAAGATCTAAACCTGAAATTCAACTTTAGCACACAAGGACAAAGGGTGCACTTACAGCATGATAATCTTTCTTTCGAGCTATGTTGGTATTTCTTTCGCTCCAATCATACGCAACTTCCTCCTCCTCTTTTTCATTTAACCAAATAAGTTCTTTAGTTGCTCGAGTTACAAAATTATGGAGTGTATCAAGGTGCCGTTCTTGATTCCTGGATGTGTTCTTTATAAGAAAAATCATTACAAGAATCATATCTCTGCCAAACAGAGATAAGGGAAAACAGAAGTTTGAAAAAAAAATAGAAAGAAAGAAACTTACCAAGAGTTTTGCATACTGACTCTCTAATCTGTGCAACTTTTCTGCATAGGTTAGCTTAAGAGGTGCTGTCATTTGAATCTATGAGATAAAAAGATCAAGATTAGGGATCTTAAGGAATTCTGACTCTCACTTCATGTATTTATTATTGAATTACAGGATTTTATGTAAAGAACAAATCAATAAAAAACTACAATGAAATATATAAAAATTTAAAATACACATACCTCACTGATTTTAGCTTCTTTAAGGCTAGATTCAAATTCTTCAATAGCTCGGTGAACATTTTTATGATTTTCTAAATGGCTTTCAACACTTGGCAAATCTGAGCCCCATTCAGTGCGATCCAGCTGTACCTTTTATAGCAAAATACTAGGTTAAAAAAACAAGCAGGGCTGGGGAAATAACTCTGTGGGTAGAGTGTTTGTCTCACATGAATAGGCCCTGGGTTCAATCCCCAGCAACATACACACACACACACACACACACACACACACACACACACAGAGAGAAACAAACAAACAAACAAAAAAACAAAAACCTGACAGCAATAGAGACTAAAACACTCAGGTAGAAATCCTTTCTTACCTGCATCTCATCGACCCAATTCAAAAGATCCTGAACAAATTTCATGTTGATTTCTTCTTCTGTCAAATTCTGATCCAGCAAAGAAGACTTTAGAAGGGGTTTTCGGATCTGCATCAATTTCAGAGTCTGCAAAGAATTTGGCTCTACTCCTGAACTGAAATTCGGAACTAATCCTGATGGGAAACCAGGTGTAAAAGCTGGAGTGACAGATGGAGTCAGGCGGGATGTCATCCCTGATGACAGGCCAGAAGTCACACTAGAAGAGGTCAGGGATGAGGTTAAACTCTGGGTCAGTCCTGAGTTCAGACAGGGGTTTAAGGTCTGTGCAAATCCTGAGTTTAAACTCTGAGTGATTCCTGATATCATGAGCTTAGTCTGTTCCGTTGTCAACATGCGTCCTTTGCTGTACACAGAGGAACACTCATTCCTTAAGGCCAAAATTTCATCACGCAGTTTTGCAACCCTGAAAAGAAAATCAAAAGGAATAAGGCATAATATAAAATGCAGTTGTGGTAAAGATTGAATCCTAACATGAGCTATGGACCCTGGTTAATAAAATGTACCAACACTGCTTATTAATTCTAATATACCACCAATGCAAGATGTTAATGATAGAAGAAGAGATATGGGGCATTTAAGAACTTAAATTCAATTTTTCTATAAACCTAACTGCTCATATAAATAAAACCTATTTGGAAACAGTCATTGTAACATTGTAATTGTATTGATAAAATTTTGCATCATTATCTTTTTTGTTAAGTGTTTTGCTTTGAGCACTTTCAGTATTGTTAGTCTTTATAAATATCACAGGGAACATAATTACTACACTGTAATGTGATTATTGTCCTGTTATTGGACATTCAGAAAAATTCCAAACTTTTGTTACAAAATATTTCTGGCATGCACATAAAGCTTTCTTTTCTATTTTTATTTATTATCCATATTTTTAATTACTATAAAATCTTAAAAGTGAAACTGCTAGGGTCAAACATGATTTAAATTCTGCTTTCATATATATATGAAAGAGAGAGAGAGAGAGAGAGAGAGAGAGAGAGAGAGAGAGAGAAAGGGAGAGACTGTTGCAGCCTGAAAGGTTTCATTCCTGCACCCAAACACACTACTCAGAAATACATATTTTTCCAACATTTTGTTATGAACATTTTCCTATAAAATAAACACAAATCTGATTTAAAAATTAACTTTTCTTATTTTTCCACTTTCAAATGTCACATATGAGATAGACAGATTGAGTGCTAGGGATTAAAACCAGGGTCTTACACTCTAATATTGAGCTACATTTCCATCCCCAAATATGAATATTTTTGATGCATGTAATTAACATACATGCATTTAAAATATCCATTTTAATGAGTATATTAGTTACTATGGCAGTAAATATTACATATATCACATGATTTTTTTCTACAACTGATTTTGAAGAACAAATATCTACACAACATGCCAATGGCAAAATATAACAGAAATAATGAGATACTCTTTCAACTGAAAAGAGCTAAGAAATATATTTTGTAAGATTGTCACACTCTACATTCCTATTGCAAGCACCCAAGAACAGCTATTCAGAAGGACAAGGCGGGAAAAAGCAGCACTCTCACCTCTGTACCAACTGATCTGCCTGGTAGTATTTTCCATCGGTAAGAATCTGTATATCAATTACATGCTGGCGTAAAAAGTTCTCACATTCAACTATGTACCCAGCAATTTCTGCTTCATTTTGAAATTGTACACCTGATTCCAACCTTTTAGAATCCTGTATTGAAAAGAAGTCAATATTAATTCTGAGTTACAAGTGTTAAAACTATCCTTAAATTTGAAACTCCAAATACTGAAACAGAAGCCTAGTTGGGCTTTCTTTGTTTTCCCTTTTGATTCTTGGTTTTCCCTTTGCTCACTGTCCCTCAAGGGAGCAAATAATAACCTCAGTGAAGGACATATACCAAGAAATTGATGAAACGCTCTACAAAAGTTTTTAGTTAATCCAAACACACACTGACCCCCTAACAGCAACCCAGTTGCTCCTAAAATTAACTTACAGACTGGAGAGCATTTCGGGCAAGTATCAGTTTGTCTTCACAGATGACGCTGTCCCTCTGAACTCGGTTGGCAATCTGCTGCAGCATTTCCAACCTAAAACAAGGGATAAAGGAAAATATAGCTTTTTCCTGTGACATCAAACAGCTCACCATCCCTGGAAAATGTTAACCAGCAGAAAGTAAAACTCAATCCCACAACAACAATTCAATCAATTTAATACCTGTGTCCATCAAAGGATTCATTGCCGAAGCTAATGCAGGAGTTGATCAGTGTTGGACCACAATGAACAGAGAGAAGATTTTCATTTGAATCAAGACTAGTTCGAGTGCTGGTAGTGTTACTAAACACAGAATCACTGCTACGATAGCTGTAACTACTACTGTGCATTTTTAGTCCTTAAATGATGTTCTTTGACCATTAAAAGTAGACTAAAAATTAGAAGGTCTGGAAAAAGCTCTACTTCTACTGATGAAAAGTGGCAGCTGAATTTAACAGCTTGACCAGCTCTCTTAAATATGCATCAACATGCATATGCAATATGCAGCAAATAATATGCTGATAACTATTCAAAAGAATCTCCCCTAAAGCCATTGGTTTGCTCACTGAGGTTTGTCTTTTGTAGCTTGCATTAAAAACCTGCAAGTACAGACAAAGCAGGCTGATTAGGGCGTCACTGGAAAAGATATGCCAAATACTTTCACTATGAATCATCCAATTGCAACCACCTAAAAAACAACTCAGATTCCTCACAAAAACTCAGGTACAGCTAGTGAATTCCAAGTTAAAAGAACAAATATTCGCTAATAGCCTATCTCTTGTAAAGGGCTACTGTGTTCTGAATTACAGGAGGCAAAAAGCTGGAAATTATCAAGTACTCATAGACATTCAAATATGATGAGAAACAAAGTACATTTCCATTTTAACCACCATGTCAATTACTCATAAGATTAAATTAACTGGAAAATTATCCATTTACCTTTATATGCCATGCTCTCAACAATGTCACATCTTAGCTGTTATAGTTATATGTTTTAAAGCCAAGGTGCTAAGTAGACTATCAATGTAATGCTTGTAAATGTAATTTGTCTGTGCTTGCTTTTCTTTTCTATAGGCTGTTACATAGCACAAGAACACTGCCTCTTTCCTATATGTCTTTTACACACTCCCTGCCACATAGCTATTATTTACAATTCATAGTCAATGCCAAAAGACTTGTTGTGTCAAGAAAAATGAAGACATCTATTCAAACAAGCTTCTAAATATTTTCCTACCTCCAACACTACAAAGACAAACTGTTCTTTCTCTACTCTAAAGATAGGGAGTTTTCAAAAGGCAAGAAAGGATAAATTTGAGTATGCTATATCATATACTGCAAGTAAACAGAATAATTCATGAAGTAATAGTAGTACTAACATTTATTAAGTAATTATTATGTTCCAGGAAATTAATCATTTTACATACATGAATCATTTCATATACATGACTTTATCTTATACTCATAAACCACCAAATGTGGTTGGTACTCTTATATCCTATTCACAAATGAGAAAACTGAGGCTCAAAGAGTTAAAGAACTTATTTAAGATCACACAATGTGCGAGCTGAGTTAACAAATCTAATCCAGGATTCACTGGTTCCTGGGCCCTGAAATCTCAACTATATTCTTTCATTAATATATTTCCATGGTTTGGATGTGTTACCTAAAGTTATTATACCATAAACTTAATCTTCAATGCAGCAGTGTTGACTGGTGGGACTTATAAATGGTAATTAAGTCAAAAACTCTGCCCTAATGGGGTTTAGTTACTGTAGCAGTGGGTTCCAGATAAAACTAACTTTGGCCTTCTCTTGTGCACATGAATGCTTGCCCATTCGTGTGCATATATGCACACTGTGTGTGTTCCTTCTCTCTCTCTCTCTCTCTCTCTCTCTCTCTCTCTCTCTCTCTCTCTCGCCTTTGCTCCTTCCATCAAGGTACAATGCAGCACTGAGGCCCTCACCAGGTGCAAGCACTATACTGGACTTCCCAACCTCTAGAACCCTGAGAAATAAATTTCTTTTCTTCACAGTCATGCAGTCTGCAGTATTTCTGTTGTAGCAACATAAAGTAGTTTAAGATACATACATTAAAATTTGGCTACTACTGTGATGAATAAAAATCTATTCTGTATCATTCATTACTTCAGATGATTAGCTTAGTATCTCCTTTTAATCACCCAAAATTACCTCCTCTATAAAAGCTTCAGCCTGCATATTTCAAGTTTATTTTGATTCTAATGACTGAGTTATGTAGTTGTAACACTATGCATTAACAATAATGTAATCAATAATTTAATCAGGTTGAAAAGTTGGACTTTCCCTTGTATCTTCAACACATTATTTCATATTTTAACAACACTGAAATCGATGTATTAGACATTAAGAACGTCACTAGACTGACCACTTGGATTGTGTATCAGGTACCACGTTAAGCACTGACAACACAGGGGTCATCAAAAACAAGCCTCTGACTCCATATTCTTGGAGCTCATATCTAAGGAACAGGTAGCACTTGATCAAAGAGAAATAAACAAAATTATAACCAAGCATAAGTGCTATAAAACAAAATACAGGTAAAATATGAGAGTTATAAGCAAGACATGTGAAGCAAACTGGAAGACCATGGAACGCTTCTAGAGGAAGTAAACATTGAAGCTGGAGTAAAGAATACAGAGAAACAGGGAGGAGAAAACAGTCTCCCAGCAAAAGAACAGACTGTGCAAACACCCTGTGTGTGGAGGGGGGGTGTGATCTCAGCACATGAGAGCCCCTGAGAGAAGAGTGTCTGCTCTGTAGAGAGCAAGGAGGTCAGTGAGGTATGCCTGACCACATAGGCCCCGGGATATAAAGCATGGTCCCTATGGGCCTCACAGCTAACAAGGGACACAGATCACTATTCCCACATACTACAGGCAGGCTGTGAGGCAAGGACTACAAGGGAAGCAAATTTATCCAACAGGGTTGGGGATACAGCGTGGGAGTAGAGTACTTGCTTGCTTAGCATGCAACAGACTCAGCTCCATCCCCAGCACTGAAACAATAAGTAAATAAAATAAAATTCAACCAATAAATGTTTCCTGGAGATTAAGCTATATCTTCCTGGGCAACAGTAGTGCAAGCAACAGAATATAACAGCCAGTGGTGATTTCATGGGATAAATGGATTTGTACAAGTATGGCAGAAGAGGAAGCTGAGCTGATATTTACTTTGTGTTTTTAAGATATGAGCCCATGGCCCTTGAAATGGAGGCAAGGCTAGATTTTGGTTTCCACTGCCCTGCAGAAATAGGTCCAGGAACACAAATGCAAGAAGAAATAAAATAACTGCTAAACTCAGAGCTTCCAGATCTAGGTCTGAGTGACTTAAGGCCACCTTTCCCAGGTTTCTATGGGTAATTTTGATTGGCTTTAAACTGTAACACCTTATATGAGACTTCACATACCAGTCCAGCATACCAAGTCCTTTATATCATTAATTCACTGATCTATTTATTCCTTAAAATATCTTCAAGTTTCCTAGATAAGAAAATGGAGGATGAGAAAAACTGTGATTTACCCAAGATGACAGGACTAAGTAAATGGAAAAGGCAAATATGGGTCCTCTGTCTACCTAGTTTTAAAACTAAGGTCTGCTGCAAAACATCTGTCCTACCTTTCCACTTCTGGACGAAGCACCTTTTCCCTCTCGAGCATGGCAATGATGAGTTTTCCCCACTCTTTTTCTATGTCATTTGGATGATAACCTTGAAGGAGTTTGATGCGTCCAAATTCTATCCATATCTTCAGGGGGGAGAAAAAAACTTTAATGTGAAGCAAAGACATTTTTAAAAATATTTTTTTTAGATGTTGATGGACCTTTATTTTATTCCTTTATTTAGATGCAGTGCTAAGAATTGAACCCATAGCCTCACACACGCTAGGCAAGTGCTCTACCACTGAGCCACAACCCCAGCCCACAAAGAGATTATTTTAAAAAAAGATTATGCTTGACAATACAAAGGAAACTTCAGCTTACCTCTAGTAGTTTATAGAGGCGTTTAATTTTTGATTTTTCTGTCTCTTTTGGTGGGATTTCTGTTTCTTTAAACTGTAAATACTGATTATAAAGTGCCTAAAATGAGAAGGAAAATAAGCTAAAGGTCAAACTTCAAAGATATATTTTCATTATCTCATTACGTCACTGCTGTAAATTGTGCCATATACATTCAGTGGCACAATTTATAAAATACACACTCAAGGACAATTCCTATTAATTGGTGGCCTGGGTTATATAAGATTTGGCAAGGGTGTAATTACTGATATGAACCATGATTCAGCATGTACCACACAGGAACCTGGATAATAATAAAACCATGGCAAGTTTTACTATGGCTATACAAAAAACTCTCTCATTGTCCAAACAAGAAAGCATGTTCTTTAAAAATCTATAAATACTTTTTAAATGCTAAATTTATTTCACTGACTTATTTAGTTTTTAGTTTGTGGAAAATAATTTGATGTGATTCCTATAGAGGAAGGAAAAAAACCCACTCTATTTTACGGTAATATCCTTGAAAACAGAATTCTTAGCAGCAAAGTAGGACTAAAATCTGATTTCAATGTCCCATTGGCCAATTTAAATAGGTTTTTGTTTTGTTTTGTTTTGTTTGTTTTTGCAGTACTGGGAATTGAACCCAGGGTGGCTCTACCACTAAGCTACATATCCAGCCATTTTTTATTTTTTTGAGGCAAACTCTTGCTAAATTGCCCATGCTGGCCTTGAACTTGAGATCCTCCTGCCTTGGCCTCTCAAGTAGCTAGAATTATAGCACTACCACATCTGGCTTGAACAGAATTTTTTAAATAAATGAAGATAGGTACTATTAGTTGATGGTACTATTATTATATTAGTTTGAATCAAATAATTAAATTATCATTTTGCTTATAGATATTAATTTGGGAGTCTCTGAAATATAATTTATTGTATTTATTAAAAAGTTCCTTCATCAAAATTATCTAGATAAATAAATGTCTCCACATTTAATAACTGTGTACTAATTATTCTGTCCTAATTCATGCTGCCTTAAAACAAGACCCTAAAAATCATCAGGCAAACACACTTCTGCAGAATTCCATTCAATGGCTTACTGCCTGATAGAATTATCTGGCATTTCCTCACAAAAATATTTTCTTTCCCATATATGTCCTATCATAGGCACTCTCAAGTAATCTATATGGTCAAACTTCTTCCACAACCTTAAAAATCTGTACTAGTCACAGCTAATACAAATTAACCCAGGGATGCAGACTATAGGAATCCATTCAGAAATAGGTGAATTTAAACATGAAACCTGGAATTCATTTTGAACTGGAAATGCGTCTTCAGGATGTCTGTTGGTTATTAAGCACTGAATGGTACGTGTACTAAAAACTGCTACTGGTACCGTACCACCTGGTAGTAGAAGGGAAACTCTTTCCCACTTTGTAAAAGTTCATGTCTACATAAAAAGCCATCATACAAACAACGTGAGAATACATTGAAAAACCTTCAGATCAACAGATGCCAAGTGATTTTGTGCCAAGGACAAACTCCCTGTGGCAATGTGAATAAGAGCTGTGCCACAGATGTTCTGTACAGATGCCTGAGCACAACAAATAACTTTTAACAGGGCCCACCCTGGGTTATTAGTTTTTGTGATTCTAGTGTGATCATCAAAACAAAACTTACAAACCAAAGAATTAAGGCTTTGGAGTCAATACTCACATTATTGGTTTGTAAAAACAAAAAACACTGCTCTTTGAAATCCAAATGAACAAAATGAGGGAGCATTCTACTATCAAGAATTCTTGGCTAAGTGTACATACCTATAATGTGATTTATAGTTCTATAACACTCTTGCCTCAAAAAGCTTGACCTAAACTTTTCAGAATTGGCAAATGTTTTGCTAATCCATTTAGCCTCAAACACCAGCCTACTGAGGGTTAATTGTGAATTCATTTATACTGAAAAAGATATAAACATTTTCAAACTCATGGTAAAATTCAGGATATATGTTGTATTCTACCAAAGATGCCTCTGAGGCAGTTTCTAAGAGGATTCATGCAGAGATGCGCTCCCAACCACTGTGGTGTGTGAGAGCTTCCCACAGGCCCTCCTGCCACACCATCTGGTGAGCTTTAAGCATTGCCCACCCACCAAAAACAATGTGGCAATGTCAGTTCCAGAGACTCTCTCAAATTATACCTGTAAACTCTCAACAAATCAAAGCTCAGGGAATATAAATTTTTTAAAGATGTTGTTGCTATCATATTTTAATTAACATTTACCTTCATTTTCTCTGTAAAATAGTGAAACAAGTAAAAAATTTCCCTACTAATTAGTGGTCTACCAATAGTAGCTTTCTTGAGATTCTAACATTATAGAATTGTTCAAGCATTGGTTATTTTCAAACCAATCCTACTCACCATAAATAACTATAAAAAGAAATAAACCCTATTTGACTCCTCTATGATACCAACCTTTAGTTCTACAGGATTATTAGGAAATGTTCTCTCTGACATTGTGGTCACATGGTGTCTAATCCACTGGATGAGGTAGTTCACCATATTCTGGTATTCAATCCATTTGACTTCAACATCCTAAAACAATGAAATTACAGAAAAAGTTCATGTCTGTAGATAACATTCCTACCTGACACAATTTAGTCAGAAGTCCTTCTGTGACTTCACTTGTCTTGAAACTGGATAGAGAAAACCAGCTAAATGTTTTCTATTCCACTCAGTCACAATCCTTTCCACACAAACAGTTTTTAAAACATGCTATCAACTTCTGGCCACCAACAGTAGCCTAATGAGTGTCAGCTCTGATCCAAAGATAGTGCTCTTCAAGGTGTTGAGGAAGTTTCTGAGATGCCACCCAAATTCTTCAGACAAAAATGTCATTATCAAGTTGGAGTGTTTTCCAGGGTTCAAAAAGGGGACGTAGCAGCTTACACAAGCCAGGCAAGCCACCTATGCCAACCATCTTGAATGTCAATTGCATATCTGACACTCAAAGGAGTTCTACAGTATGTAGGAAACCAGACAGGAATGAATTGGATATGATGGAGATTAGTCAAGTACTCATTAAGCAACCTTTTTACAAAGGTAAGAAACTGGAATACTGCCAACTACTATGTTCAATTAAGTATTTGATGACTATTATGTTTAAAGATTGTGCTTGTTGTTGTAATAAAAACTAAAACTTTAGGACATAAAACCTATTGTTGTCAAGGAGTTATTTTCTAAATTAGAAGACAGGGAAGATTCATGGTGTTTTTACCTTAAATTTGCAAAAGCAGTATTTAATTAAGTATTCAAATAACTGAAACAGATAGTATATGCTAGAAATTGAGATAAAAATCAGGTGAGTATCCATGTGCTCTGAAAGGGCTAAAGGTTTCTGGGAAGGCAATCTGTGAACACTTCTGAAATGATCAGGAACTAACTATATGGCTGGGAGAGGCCATGGAGAGTGTGGATAAAAGACAAGGGAATCCCAAGTAAGTGAGGACACTGAAATGGAAATGCCCCAGCTACCAGTAAACTAAACTGTTCATGGTAGAAAATCCTAGTCAAAAATGTAGGTAAGCAGAATTCTTACAGAACTTTGAATGTCAGGGTATCTAGCTGAATTTAATCTTGTGAACAATATGAGGACACTGTATGTTTTCAAGCTAAAGACCCCAGATTTTAGGCTGGTTAGTTTGGTAATCAGATGCAGAGGTGATAAGAAGAAATTTTTTTAGATGGAGATAGAAAAGACATAAGCTATCATCCTACTTCTAATATAAATGAATAAGAGGCAGGAATAGGGTGGAGGTAATAAGAGGATAGTGCAACAAATAGCCACAAGAAACATTTTGAAGCAACATTCAACATTGAATTGTGAGAGGCTGAGCATGGGAAAGAGTTACTTATGCTTTGGGAGAACAATAGGAAGAGAATAGGTCTAGAACCAACAGCATACAGAGGTGACACAAGAGACTAGAAATGGGAGCCTACAAGGTAAGCTCCTACATCTTCAGAGTAAGGAAGAAAATGTATCTGCAGGAAGAGGGAGAAGCCCAGGGTCAAAGGGGATCATCCTCAATGCAGAACACATGTTGTTTCCTGTTCTCATCCAGAAATGCACAAGCACTTGTTAGCATGACCACTACCAAACGTGTGACTGAATTAAATTACATACACCTTTGAGTAACAGTGATCTAAGGAAGACAAAACACCCAGATTGCATGTCAAAGACCTAGCTCTGTTAATACGGTCAAATCCAATAACCTGTGCCAGGCCCCTGCTTTAAATCAGAAAAATATCTAGTTAACTTATTTCATGGGGCCATATGAGTTAATGAACTTGAAATTGCTTTCAAAAGTGAGATTATCCCGTACATACATAAGGACAGGAAATAGTTATAAAACAGACCCAAAACTAAAAATGAAAATGGTTTATAGCATTTATTTGTGAAATGACCTGTAACTCTAAATAGCTTATTTTATTTGTGAGACAGAAAATATTTTTAGTTATACTTTAATCTTAATGGTGGAATGGTGCCATGAAATGTATATAGTATCAGTTTATTAAACAGTGCATTAATTCAAACTCTTCTAAATTTATTTGACATTTAAAAACTGTAAAAAGAACTGTCAAAGAATTCATTCAACTGGTGACCACCAAATCAGAAGCTTCCAATACAGAAAACTCAGTACTCACATTTGCTCCAATGCCTTCGCCACCTTCAGGGACTTTAGGAAATGCATCATAGAGAGATGACACATAAGTTATTACTGATTTTTCATCAGGTGAAGAGACATCAACATCTAAAAATGGCAACATAAATTATTTATTTCATGATATCAATGGTTTGGTTTTGATCAACTTTCATGCCAGTACACATACAGATAAGAAAACAACTCACCTTCAGGGTCCAGAAGTCTAATGACACCAATTTTTTCTGCTACATAAAAAGCGTGCTCTAAATTTGCAAGGTTGCTTTGAACAGCAACAGTATTCATGTCTATCAGGTCCGGCCTAGGAAAAAGTTTACGGTGTTAATTAAGTTTTTAACATGGCAATTCAACTTTATACTTATAGGTGTATCTATTTACATAACAAGTTCCACAAATAGTAATACTAAGCTGGTGTTAAAAACCAGAGATTTTCTTCAAACATTTAACACTGCTTACTTACCTCAGAAACTTATGTGTGCAGAAAGTAAACACAGCAATATAAAAGGTGGAACATACGTAACTGTCAACCAAGTCCATAAATGCCTTATACTCAGAATATACACAAATATTTATCCCATTAAGTGGATTTAAGTTCCACTGTTCCAAGAGCATCCTTCCAACAACCAGCATCCTTTCAATATTTCTCCCCCAATACATAAAGCTTATACTCAGTTCAATGTCACACCATCAGACTCCTTTTCTCCTGGCCTGCACCATTCAACTGTATCACCCAAGACAACCTTATACTTTCTCCCACTATTAATTCATTGTGTGCACATACATGTTGTTTCTCTCAAATGGTCAACTCCAATACAGTGAGAACCATAGATAAATACATTTTTGGATTTTATCTTCCTATTGAAATACATAAACACAGCAGACCCTGAACAAATATCTACCATTCAGTTGGTAAGTAGGTAGGTTAGTTAGAAATTAGAATCATAAATTAATGACTAGAACAAGCACTAGTGTATACTTCATGAACAAGTAAGTATATTCTTAGTCAAAAAACTTGATTCTTCAATGATTATTCATTCTCTCTGTGCTCATACTCTCTCTCTCACTACACACAATCTCCTAATTGTGAGACACATAATACTCAAAATGAGAGAGATACTTTCAAGCTATTTCTACCTACAGGAGACAGGAAAAGATGTCCATGTCGCAAATATTCCTTGTATAGAAAGTGGCAAAACATGATAGATGGAAATGTCCCCTTAAGGCCAGAAGCTAGTCAGGAAACTTTGATCTCAAGAACAAAGCATTAAAGAATACAGAAACAAATCTGGAAACAACAAAGCCTTCAAAAAGAGTAGCACCCACCCCCAAAATCACTGAGTCAGAACTTGTTTATCAATGTGCAAAAGAAGGCTCTCTATAATCCCCACAGGCGAGCTGGTTCAAAATAATCACTGGGGAACCACAGCAAGAGTGGGAGGGCTCAGAGGTGGCCTGCGAAAAATGATATGGAAATTATTTTGAGTACTATTTGGAAGACCATTTACATAAGAAACTCTTTGAAAACACATGATTAATTTTCTGAAAAGGTAAACAGCAATTTGTATTCTTATTTTTATCTGGTGATAAAGCAGGCTTCCAAAAAAGTCTACTTATACTTTGACAGCACTTTGAAGTGTTCATAACTTGGAAGTATGGCTACCAATTCCTACAATTCATATCCAAGGAAATTCCTTAACAATTTTCATATGCCACCAATATGATCACTCATAAAGGATCCTACATGCATTATAGGAAAAAGAAATACACTGACAATAGAGGTAAATGACAGACCTTTAAAGACGGCCTTTTTAAAGTTGCAGGGAATCATGTTGAAGAATCCATCTGCCAACATCAAGTTTACTAAACAGGTATGCGTAACAGTCTACACAAAAACAAATTCCTAAAGTGCTTTCATTAAAAAAATTGTTTTGTTTTTATAAAGTTCACACATTTTTTGAGAAATAAAAAACCAGCCTTTCTGAGTCTGCCAAAACTCAAAACAAGAAACAGCACGTTATTATGAGAACCCTGCCATTAGCAAAGAAAGTAAACACTGAGTAATCCCAGAGAGAATGAATAAAGTCATTGAAGAATGAAGTTTTTTGACTAAGAGACTAAAACATAAAACTTCTTTCAGAATGACATAGTCCTTGCAGCACAAAAGCAGCTGCATAATACAAGGAGCTCTGAACAAGTCACCTCTTTTATCCTAATGTTTAACACTTTAGTGGAACAAGGATCTACAAGGTTCTCCTTCATTAAAAGACTAGAATAAAGAAGATTGATTAAACAAAAAGGAGAAAAGGAAAAAAAATTAAGAACCAGTGTGAAAAAATAATAGCTTCAGAGTCTTCAAACCTCTAGTGCTCTGGCCATTTTTGGTCTTACAATGTGCCCCCCGCCCACCTCCCTGAGAATCCAGAAGAGGCTGGGCTCTGCTCTTGCCTCTTTCTTTCTTCACAGCTCACTGATATAAACAACCTTTAACAACTTCCAGCTATTTTTCATATACAGAGGTTTTTGGTTTTTATTTTTTTCATTCTAAAGGTTTCATTTCACTGTAACATCTCTTTTTTGTTTGGGGAACATTAGCAGAAAATTTCATTTCCATCTTAGGTTTGATTAATCAAAGAGCATTAGACTATCTTATAAGTGCAGAAGGCCTTGTTCCTGTATTATACTTTAGACAGATGAGTATTCTAACTTTCCTATTTTATAAAAATTCTTTTATTGAAATATCAGCCATGTAAAATAACATATACTTGGGCTAGGGTTGCTGCTCAGTGGCAGAGCACTTGCCTCGCACATGTAAGGCATTGGGTTTAATTCTCAGCACCACATGAAAACAAATAAACAAAATATAGATATTGTGTCCATGTATATATAAAAAATATAAATTTTTTAAAAAAATAATATATACTCATCTTTTGTCATAAAAAGGGGGGCTACTTTGTTTTGTTATGCTATGATAATATATTGTTTTCTAAATGATTAAATCATTGTGGATTGTAATTTTTATTTGTATAACTTTGTCTTCCATAAATGTTTAAAAACAGCTTGAAAAGAAGTGCAAATGGAAGATGATGACATGAATATTAAACTAAAATAAAACCCAGAGAAGGCCACAAAGTGAAGTTAAAAGTAAAACCAAAAAGTGAAAATCACTTATATGTATGCACAGTATCCTTAATTTGTTCCAAACCTATAAAGTCAAAAGGTATTAAAAACTTCTGTAATCCTAGCAATTCTAGAGGCTGAGGCAGGAGGACTGCAAGTTTGAGGCCAGCATCAACAACTTAGCAAGGCCCTTCACAACTTAGTGAGATTCTACCTCAAAATTAAAATTTAAGAAAAAAAGAAAGAAAAAGGCTGGAATATAGCTCAGTGATAAAGCACCCCTGAGTTCAATCCTCAGTGCCCCCCTAAAAAAACGCATTAAAAAAAAAGACTGCCTCCCCAGCATCCACCACCCCCCAAACAAAACCCTAGGAATAAATCTAACCAAGGAGGTAAAAGACCTCTACTATGAGATACAATGACAACACTGAAGAAAGAAATTCAAGAACACAAGAAGATGTAAAGACCTCCCATGTTCATGGCAGAATTAATACTGTTAAAATTGCCATACTACCAAAAGCAATATATAGAATCCCCATCAAAATACCAATGTCCTAAAATTCATTTGGAAGAATAAAAGATCCAGCATAGCCAAAGTAATTTTAAGCCAAAAAAACAATGCTGGAGGTATTAGAAAAACTGACTTCAAATTATTTTAAAGAGCTATAATAACAAAAACTGTGTGGGACTAACATAAAACAGACACATAGACTAACAGTACAAAATACAAAACAGAAAGACAAACCCACATATGTAATATCATCTGATTCTTGACAAAGGTGCCAAAATATATACTAGAGAAAAGATATCCTTTTTTAACAAATGGTGCTAGGAAAATTGGTTATCTATGTATAGAAAAATGAAACTAGACCCTTATTTCTTGCCTTACACAAGACTCAACTCAAAATGGATCAAAGACCTAGAAATTAGATCAGAAACTATGCATCTCCCAGAAGAAAATACTCTAACATACAGATATGCAAACAATGACTTTCTCAATAGAACCCCTAAAGCTTAGAAAATAATGCAAAAGTTAATAAGTAGGATGGCATGAAGTTAAAAAGCCTCTGCACAGCAAAGGAAACAATGTAGAATGTGAAGAGGGAGCATACAGAACGGGAGAACATCCTTGCTAGCTACTCTCCTGACAGAGGACTAATATCCAGAAAATATAAATATATGTAAAGAACTCGAAAAACTTACACCCAAAACACAAATAACCCAATCAATAAATAGGAAAAAGAACTAAACAGACACTTCTCAAAGGAAGAAATACAAGTGACCAACAAATATATAAAAATGTTCAATACCCCTCACAATCAAAGAAATGCAAATCAAAACTACACTGAGATTCCATCTCGCAGCAGTCAAAATGGCAGTCGCCAAGAATACCAATAATAAATACTGGAGAGGATATGCAGAAAAAGGAACACTTACACTGTTGGTAAGGTTATAAATTAGTATAACCACTATGGAAACCTGAATGGAGTTTCCTCAAAAGACTAGGCTTGAAGCCACCATATGATCCAACTACACCACTCTTCTGTATTAATCCTAAAGAATTAAAGTCATCTTACTACAGTGGTACATGCATAGCCATGTTTATAGCAGCATAATTCATAATAGCCAAATTATGGAACTAGCCTAGATGTTGTTCGTCAATGGGTAAATAATACAGAAAATGTGATTGATCTCTTTATTATTTATCCATTGATTAACAACCAACATGTAGGCTGATTCCACAGTGTACACACACACACACACACACACACACACACACACACACACGAGTTTTAATCAGCCATTAAGAATGAAAATAGGTCATTTGCAGAAAAATGGATAAAACTTGAGAACATTGAGTGAAATAAGCCAAACTCAGAAAGCTAAGGGTCACGTGTTTTATCTGTTATGTGGAAGCTAGAGAGGAAAAAGGAAAAGGGAAGTTGGGGAAAATCTCCTAAAAATCAAAGGCAAATCAGTAGAAGAAAGGGACAAGAGGAAGAGTGTAGGAGAGAGAAAGAGGAAATAATGTGGAATGATATTGACCAAACAATATTATTATATTATGTGCATGCACTAAAATGTAACAACAAATAACCCACTATGAACAAATATAATACACCAATAAAAAATTAGGGGGAAAATGGCTATTGCCATAATACAAAATAATTTTGGATAAAGGTA